GCAGAGCTCGCGCCCCGCGTGGGCGGGCGGCGGGACAGGGGCCCTTTGTGCCGGCGCCGCGCCCCCTGCCTGCCGCGGCAGCGGGTGATGAGAACCAGGCGCCCCGCGCCCGGACTGGGCCGCGCCACTGCCAGGAGAGCTGGAGCCCGTCCCGCCCAGTGTCCCGCCCGCCTCCAGCCCCGCCGCCCGGCAGCCGGGTTCAGCACCGACCCGCTGCGGAGTCCGAGCTGCCTTCCAGTCTCTCTCACCTGCTTCCAGCAACTCACAGCCTCCCTCTCTTGAGCCTGTGCCTTTATCTGTAAAATGGGTGGTGGAGAGGATGAGAGTACCTGCCTCTGTCCCGAAGTCATTCCCCCAAGGAATTCTTCCTCCTGTCAGGACGCCCAGTCCGGGGCCTTCAGATGATGGTGGGAGTGGGGCGTCTTCTTGACTCAGCCTAACCCACGTTCCCGCCTGAGTTTCAGCTGTTGGAGTAGACTGAGTACTAGATGATGATTACTATGGTCTGGGGCACTCAAAAAATGTGTATGTCGAAAGCCTGATCCCCAATGCAAGGGTATTAGGAGGTGATTAGATCAGCAGGAGCTTAGTACCCCTATAAAGAGCCGCAGGAGCACTGCCTTAGTCCTTCCACCGTGCGGGCACACGGTGGAAGGTGCCACCTGTTTAGCAGAATGAGGGTCCACCAGAAACCCCAACTGCCAGTGCCTTGATCTTGGATTTCCCAGGGTCCAGAACGGTGAAAAATAAATTTGTCGTTTAAAAGTCTTCCAAGTGTAAGGCATTTTGTTACAGCAACACAAATGGATTAAACGATGGCTAAAGTAATTTCTGGCTGGGTGACTCAGGGATTCACTGATTTGTTTATCAAATGTTGTAACAAGTGCTGAGCCAGAACAAGAGAGATAAAATCCCTGTCCTTGTGTACTGTACAATCTGGTGGGAAGTCAGGCAAGAAATAGATAAACAGAAAAATAATGGAGTGAATTGTTAAGAAGGAAAGAGACAGATGTTGACACAGGAAACTGTAGGGGAATCAATTAAGGTTAATGGTCTTAGAAGGGGATGAGAGGCCTTGATCTGAAAGAAGGACAGAAATTCAGGAAAGTGTGTTTGGGGTGTTGAGGGTGGGTAGAGAAACAGTTCCAGGCAGCGAGACGAGCATGTGCAAAGGGTCTGAGGTAGTATTAGACTTAAAGCCATGGGGAGTGAGTGGAGAGCTGAAAAGAGAGAATGTGGTGGTAGGCATTTGAATTCAAAGCTCAAGCTTTATCCATCATTCATCTCACACCAATGTTTTGGCAGTGGGAACTTGAGCTAGTAACATCCTACTTTGCTGTGTGACTTTTGACAGATCCTTCACTTCCCTTGGACCGCTGCTTGCTCATTATTAATTTGAGATTAATAATCCTCTTGATAGTTCTGCTATACCACACGGAAGAGAGGATTTCTGATGATGTTTATTAAGCAACCAAAAAGCCCTCTCCAATCTGCAGGATGGCTTTGTTATCACTGGTGCATTGGTTTAGGAGAAAACAGAATTGTGGGTGTCTGGTGCAGAATTTAGCTAGGAGTTGTGGATCATAGCTTGGCTTTAGAGTCCCAGGTTGCAATGAGACAGGGTTAATATACTATTCTGGAGTCACAGGCAACAGAAATTAAGCAGAGAAAGAGTGGATTGAAAAGGTATCAGATGCTTACAGAATCACAAGAAGGCTGCTAGCCCATTTTGGGGGACAAGCTGGGTACTCTAGAGGCAATGAATTGGCAGGAGTGAGGTGGAAACTCTTGAAGACTGATAAAATTACAAGGCAAACAAACACACCAAAGTAGAACTTTCTTAGTGTCAGGTACTTTTATAAGTATGTAAGTTATGAAGTAATTTAAATTATTGTCCTCATTATACAAATTAAAAGCTGAGCCACAGACAGGTAGCTTGCCTCATGACAGATAGCCAGTAAACTCTGGATTCCAGAATTGGATGAGGCTACCAGTTCTAGAAATTATGTTATCAACTATTTTGCTATGCCAGCTGAATGAATCCCAAACATTTTTAGTGCCCCGTGTCACTCCTGCTAGATTCAAAGCCTTAAAAAGGTGATTCTAACTAGGGCCCATCTAAGACTGCACATACCAGGAATAGGTGGTCCCTCAAGAGGAAATTAGATACCATAAGAAGGAAGGGGAAATTGGCATGAAATGGTCTATGAACAAATGCCATTATAGTCCACCCCTTGGGCCTCTTAGCATCCTTCATACCCTTGTGCCCATGCATGTTCTTCCAAAAATGTACTCTTCTGACATGGTAGAGCAATTCCACATGCAACCAACACCTGTATTTTTTTGGACCCATACTATATGTGACCTCAAGGAAGTTCACCTCTCTGCACCTCAGATTCAACTTTTACAAACAAAATACTTCCTCATATGACCCTTGTGAAGATTAAACAAGTCAATGAATGTGAAGGGCTTTACACTGTGCCCGGTACATAGCAGAATTAATATGTAAGACATAAAATTGTGTTGCTTATGTTTAGGCCCTGATGGCTGTGAAATCAGCCTCTAAATACACAGGTTCAACTACTGGAGTGGACTTGATTCATTTTTCAGGGACTTTCCAGAGGATTTTCCAAGGACTAATTAAGTATTCATTTCCACTCCCTTTGGCAAATGAATAAATGAAGCATGCTCCAATGCTATACTAGATTTTGAGAAATAACAAAATTCTTCACTGATTTGACAAATAGTGGAGCAGAGAAAATGGGGAAGTGTTGTAGAAATGGGCCCTCCTACTGATTTCTGTGCAGCCTCAGGCAGGTCCATCCTCTCTTGGAGTCAGTTTCCTCAACATAAGATGGTGTTATAATCTGTCTTTGGGAGGGAATTGTGAGAATCTAGTGAGATAATATATTGAAAGGGCTTAAAAGAGTGGCTGGTGTATAATAGGTCCTCAGTAAATGACAGCTCTACTTAAGTTTGAGGCTCCCAGGCCCAGGCTCCAGGACACCTCACCAGGGGACAGGCTCACTTGGGAGAAGGGAGTTGCCTAGTTTAAGCACAATATTATGAGATTCAGAATTCATTCACTCATCCAATAAATGTGTTCTTACCCTAAGGATGCCAAATGCTTGGCACATGTGTATAACTCACCACTTCTGTACTTGTGATAGACATCAGTAATCAATCATGGAATTTCCTGCTGAATCTAGAAGCAGCCTCCTAAACACAGAGTACAGGAAGCTGCTACCAATCAATATGGGTTAACATGGAGTCTATGTTCTTCTTTTTTTTTTTTTTTTTGGTTACTGGGGATCAAACTCAGGACCTTGTGCTTGCAAGGGAGGCGTGGTACCACTGAACTAAATCCCTGGCGATGGAATCTATCTTCATTTACCATCTGTGATTGAAATTTATAAGGCAAACTGGTATCCAAGAAGACACAGGCTCCAGGGCAGAAAGCTTTGTCTGAATCTTGCCTTACAACTCCCTAAAACCTGTGCCAGTTAAACTTGTCACCCTGATTGGATTAAGAGACTCCTGAGAAGTGTTTGGATTACAGGGGCGCTGTACTGATAGCAGATTAACCCACTGATGCTGTCAGCTGAACCTGCTGTTAGGAGGTGGGGCCCAGATGGAGGAGGTGACTTTGGAGGATACATCTCTCATTGGTATCTTTCCTGTGCTGTGTTTCCTGGCCACCATGAAGTGAGCCACTTTTTTCCACTACACCCTTCTGCTGTGATGTTCCTGTCTTGGAGCCCGCTGATCATCGACTGAAACTTCTGAAACTGTGAGCCAAATAAACCATTTCCTCCTTTAAATTATACATGTCAAGCATTTTGTCTCAGCAACAGGAAAGCTGACTAATACAACACTGTTGACCCCTGTGCTAATGAGTAGATACTAAAACAGTGTATCAGCCATGGAGATTCTTCCTGAAGAGAGGTCTATGATCTGTGGATGTCTTGAGGATCTGCCTCAGTGTTTGAGTTGAGGATACATGCTTCCTGGGTGCTCCCAGTGAGGACACTGTGAACAAGGTCTCTTAGTCTGTTTTCTGTTGTTGTAACAGAATACCTAAGGCCAATTAATTCATGAAGAAAAACAGGTTAGCTAAGCATGGTGGCACGTGCTTGTAATCCCAGAACTCTGGGAGGCTGTGGCAAGAAGATCACAAGTTGGAGCCCAGCTGAGGAAATTTAGGGACTTAGTGAGATCCTGACTCAAAATAAGATATAAAGGGCTGGGAATATAGTTCGGTCTTAAAGCCCTAGGTTTCATTCCTAGTACTACAGAAAAGAAAAAAAAAAAAGGAAGGAAAGAAGAGAGGGAGTGAGGGAGAAAGGGAGGGGAAAGGGAGGGGAAAGGAAGGGGAAAGGGAAAAGAAGAAAAATGAAGAGTTTTATTGAGCTCATGATTCTGGAGGCCAGAAAATCCAAGGTCAGATGGCCACAAGCTTCAGTGTGAGTTTTGGTGGGGACAAAGCATCATCAAGCCACAGCTCAAGCGTCCACCACTTCTGCCTAATGCAGGGCTCTTCTGTGAATAATGTCTGCACCAGAGCTCACCTGTGGACTGACCGAGACCTTCTCAGAGGTGCACCACAGTCTGAAACTCATTCTACTCAATTTTCTTCCATCCACTTTTCCTTCTACAGTGTCAGACCAGCATCAGAGTCTACTGGTCCTCACTGTTCATCCTGCTCCCTCTCCACTTCACCTGCATGAGTGTTAGCCCTATGAGGCTCCTGCCCTTCTAACTCTGTTTGTGGTATCTCTTTCCCAAAGTCACAGGTGACGTGATCATGAGCTGCATGGGGTGAGGAGGTGTAGGGCTCCTCTTCTGTGTTGGCCCAGAGATTACTATGAATACGGGCACATGAATGAC